TCTGCCTTTTAGGAGATAAGGTTTCGTTAAGTGAAGAGCCAATGAAAAAGAGGGAAATCCTCAAGAAGACTAACACAGTGGCTGTAACAATGGATTCAAGCAGAGCAGAGATTGTGAGGATAGAGTGTAGATTGTGAGGATAGGCAGTACTCCATTCTATTGTTCATGAGGTCACTAAGAATTGGTTCTCACTAGACAACACTTAATAACAGAAGTTGTATCTTGAATAATAAACTTTCTTAAATACATTCCCATGAAAGTAAATTTTGAGATGAGCATCTAAGTAGTTTACACTAGAAATTATTGTTGGAAGAAATAATAGAAAAGTGCAACATGCAAGAGAAGAAAACCAATAAAGGTTATAATGAACAGGTTACCACTGTGTGTAACTTTACTTCGATCCTGCTAGGCATCTCTGATTGGATTCAGAGAGTAAGCTTCAGATTTCTTTCACCTGAGGGGTAAGGAAGCTAGAGTGTTTCTCAACCAAATCATGCCAGCAAGTAAGACATGGGAAAAGTTTTAGGATACCTTGAAAGAAGTTGCAACATAAAGCTACTGGTTTAGCATGTGTGAGTGGCAAATACCAAAAGACTATAACATTTCCTCTAATATAGTTTGGTATAGTTCATACCTGGTATTACTCAGATTCACTCTTACTGCATGAACTCTAAGAGAAATGAGATAAATAGAAGGGCAGACAAGTAGACACAAGAAATTAAGGGAAACATGGGGGGACTTATATTAGAATAACTTACATTCTCTTGACTATAATATTAAGGCCATTTTTTATATACATGACATTCATGCTCTACCATCCATCCTACCTTTCAGCCATGATCCACCTAACAAAAAAACTATATCCTTGCTGCCATAACCTATTCTAAATTCAGCTTGAATATCAGGCAATTCACTGTCACTGTATTGTTCTACCCAAGCGTCGAGGACTCTCCTTCATAGGGTCGCTATGAGTCGCCTGCGACTCGACAGCACTTATCAACAACAACAACAACAACAACAGCATATTGTTCTAGTAATTTTAAAAATAATCTTCTAGAAGATTTTACTTACATATTTTGTCAAAGACATTATTTTATAATTTGCATGTTATATTGGGTCACCTTTTTTGAGGAATGAGCATGAACATAGATGTCCTCCAATCTGTTGAATGAGTAACTCATCCAAATTTCTGATGATAGCTTGCTGGGCACATCCAAGGCTATAAATGTTTGTTGAAACTTGTCAACTGGTGGATTAATTCCTGGGGATTATTTTTTGCCAATGCCTTCAAATGTTGTTTGAACTTCTTTTATCACCAAAAAGTCCATATTCCTAAAAATATGCTGCTTCCAAAAATAGTTCTGGACCAATCATTTATGTGTGTGTGTGTGTGTGTGTGTGTGTGTGTGTGTGTGTGTGAATGTATTCCTTCCATCTTATTCTGATATTCTGATGCTTCTTGGATCAAGTAGGGTTTTCCTCATGGCATCCTTCAGTATTACAACTTGGAGCTTGAATTTGTTTTTCAGTTTTACTTGTGTTTTATTGACTATGTGCAGGCATTTGACTGTGTAGATCATGACAAATTATAACTAACATTGAGAAGAATAGGAATCCCAGAACACTTAATTGTGACTATGCCAAACCTATACCTAGACCAAGAAGCTACTGGATTAGCTGAACAAGAGAACACTGCATGGTATAAAATTAGGGGTGGGGGGGGGAAAATGTGTTAGGATTCTATCCTTTCCTCCATAACTGTTCAATCTGTATGGTGAACAAATAATTTGAGAAGCTGAACTTTATGAAGAAGATATCATGATTGGAAGAAGACACACCAACAACCTGCATTATATGGATGACACAATTTGCTTGCTGAAAGTGAGGATGACTTGAAATGCTTGCTGCAAAGGTTAAGGACTACATTGTTCAGTATGGATCATATCTCAATATCAAGAAGACAAAATTCCTTACCACAATACCAATAGGCAGTAAACATGATAGATGGAGAAAATATTTAGATTGTCGATAATTTCATCTAACTTGAAAAGCACACTTAATAATCTTGGTACCAGATGTGTTACATTAGGAAATACAGTCAAGGAACTCTGCAAAGTGTTGAAAAGCAAGGATGTCAGTTTCAACACTAAGGTATATCTATTAGTCATGGTCTTTTCAATTACTTGATATGTTTCTGAATTTGACAGTGAATAAAGATGTTGGAAGACAAATCAATGCCTTTGAATTGTAGTGCTGGAGAAAGGCACTAACTATCCTATGGACTGCCAAGAGAATGAACAAATATCTATTGGAGAAAGTATAGTCAGGATGCTCCTTATAGGCAAGGATGATGAAACTTGATCCCACATGCTTTGGGCATATGGTTAGGAGGGGGCAGTCCTTGAAGAAAGATTTCAAGCTCAGAAAAGTGGAGGTTCAGCAAATGAGGGATGACCTCAATGGGCTATAGTCTAGGCTAGATGAGAAGATAACACAAGATAGGGTAGGGATCCTCTCTGATGTACATAAGATCTCTATGAGTCATACTCGACTCAATAGCACTTAACAACAACAGCAATAACAACAACCATCCATCTCAAATTTGTCTTTCCCTTAGAAAAATTTGGGTTTGTTGTTGCTGTTGTTGTTACTGGTAAGTGCTGTTTTGAGTCTACTATGACTCATAGCGACCATATGAACAACAGATGTGAACCTTGCCATATCTTGTGCCATCATCACCATTTCTCATACACTTTAGATCATTGTTACGGTCACTGTGTCAAATTGGTTCTATTGTAGTGCAATGAGCAGATTTTTTTTCTTGAAAATCTGATATTCTTGTTATTTTTTCCTTTCAAGAGGTTGCTGCTGCAATTGCTCCCTGGGCTATCACTGGGCATGGAAGTTTTAAGAGGCATCTAGTGTATTCCATAAGTTTCAGATATATTCCTCCCTGCTTTATTAGGTAGCAGCAATCCTATTTCCTCAGAATGAATAACACTTGACTGTACAATAATTACCTTCTCTGACTGCTGGTCTATAAGCATGAGAAGCCAGAGGACGTTGAAGTTTTTGGATGAGTGAGACCTTTATTATGTCCCTTGGTAAAATATTTTCCCTCCTCACTTTAGGAATTGATATCACTAGCCTATAGAACCTGAAGTTATACGAAAAAGCAACTCACTTTTTTAGTGGCTCATTAACAATTTACTCCAACATTCACCCCTTTGTTACATCTTTATAATGAGCAGCACATACAGAGAGAAGAAATCACAAACAAATGGAAGATAGATACAACTACGTGAAAATGAGTGATGAATTGAGGAAGGCCAGAGTTACGAAAGCTTATGCAGGGATCTGTCTTCTCCCAAGCTTACTTCTTTGATCAGTGTCTTGAACCTCAGGAACTTGTGCTTGTGCTGCTAACTCAAAGACAACACCTCTCTGGATGTTTGAATCCACCAGCAGCTCCAAGGAAGAAATGTGGGAAATCTTCTGGGTAATTTACAGCCTTGGAAACTAAGTGGAAGATTGGTAGTGAGTTGGTTCCAACTCCATGGCAATGGGTGTTGAGTTTGAGCCTCTTAGAGGTAAGAAAATAGATTTCTCTTCTTTGAAGCCTTGCATTTTTGATATTTCTACTACTGTAGCATTAGAGAATCGAGACAGGAAGTAAGAAAATAAAATAAATAAAAGGGTGAGTTAAATGTGGCTACTTCTGGGGAGCTCTGGTGGCCTAGTGGCAAGAAGCTAGCTGCAACTACAATCCCAGAGGTGCACGGTTCGAATCCACCAGATGCTCTGCCGGGGAAGGAGGGGCAATCTCCTCCTGTACCAGTCAGATCTGATTTGACGGTACACGCACACAAAAAAATAATAAAATAAAATAAAAATGTGGCTACTTCTGTGGGAATGTGGGCTCAGATGCTCTGAGGACTTCTGAGTGATTGTACTGAGCATACCCCAGATGAATAAACAATGACATTTACTAACTGGAGCTACCTGCATATTATTAAAATCAAAGCCATTGTGCAAAACCAAGTTATCACTATATATACTTTAACTGTTCCTTGTATGTAAATTGGTCTGATACCTTCCTTGATTAGAACATAGGAGGGTATATTCCTCTAATTAACAAAACATAAATTACTTGACTTTCTTTGCTTCAAAGTTGGTATAACACTAGGTGCTAATGGAATAGACTCAGCTCAGCTTTAATTGTGTACAGCCATTCCTTTAAGTATACAGTTCTTATCTCCTCTTTTAAATAACAAGTTAGAAATGCATTCTGATGAGCTTGGCGGCACAATTAAAAGGATGTTCACTACATTCAAAAAACAAACAAAAAAACCCCAAACAAACCAAACTTCAAGCACTTTCAGAAATAGGGAAACAGCATCTTTTAATGTTTTATTTTTCACTTGTGAAAATATATTTAATATATATTATAAGTACAAATAGTCACACAACTGGAGTCAGAGGAAACTGATAGAAGGGCCCATACAGGGGGTCAGCATTGCCCACAGTTTTCAGTTAAACCAAATTCAGGGCACAACAAGGGACAATGAAGACAACAAAAACACAGGCAGCCTGGACACGTGAGTCTGATGGGTGGAGAGACAACCCTCAAGGCCGTCAAGAATAGGAATCATCTCTGGAGCCTAAGTCATTTTCACTGCCAGATCATCAGAGAAGATACAGAAATCAGACAAAGGCACTAGGGGTGTGGCTTCATTTGACAGCTAATCTCCTCTTCTCATTGAGGCCACAGGTCTTTGTTGATTCAAAGAAATACACAATATGGCTGGTTCTGGCCATGTAGAATTTTTGTCGATTTAATTTTGTAATAAATTTAAATATTTTAAAAGCTTGTAAACACTATGCTGATGGTGGGAAGAAAAAAAAACATCAAAATACCTGCTATTTCACTCTTATGGGAAAGATACCGGCACAGATCGTTGGTAGACCCTCTGTGTATCCCTATCCCAGGATTCACCTATAATGGTAAAAATTAAGGCACAAGGGATGGGGAGATGGGATAATTTCCATCATAGATGAAGAGAGGAGCCCACTAGGATTTGGCACAGCTGGAGCAGCTGACAACCCTGGGCGAGGCGAGATGGGGCTTGATGACGTCCGGCTGTATAGATTCCATTAGGTCACATTCATTTGCCAGTATGTGCTTCACCAGGCATCTGGATGCTTCATCAATGTTTATATTTTCCTAAGGGTGGAAAAAACAACTTTTCTTATTCATTCTAAAATAACTCTAGAGCAGAGACTTATATCACTGAAAGACAGTATTTTAGGCAATTTGTTTAAGTATGTTCACAAATCTCATGGTAAGGAGCTGCGCTGTGAATCTAAATGCATGTGGTTCAAATCCGTCAGTTACTCTGCAGGAGAAAGATGGATAGCCTACCCCCTTGTGACTCATTGCCTTTGAAAAACTGCTGAGATTTCAAAGCTAGGAGTTGGCTCTGACCCGACAGTACACAAAAATATTATTTTGAGGATGGCAAAAAATCAGACAAGATTTCAATCTGTTGTATATATGATTGCTATGAGCTGGAGCTCTCTCAGTGGGTGCCGAATAAGAATATACTCTAAACAAAGCTATCTTAGAAGTGCAGACAAGATGAGGTGAGGGTGGTGAGATCTTATCTCACATGCCTTGGGCATCTTATCAGGAAGGACCAGGCCCTGAAAGAGGATGTCACGCTTGGCTAAGTAGAAGGCCAGTGAAAAAAGAACACTCTCAACAATATAGATTGGCACAGTGGCTATAACAATGTGTTCAAGGACAGGAGAGATTGTCAGTATAGCATAGAGCTTGCTAAGAGTCTATACTGACTTGATAGCATTGAACAACAATAAGACAGTACAACAGTAAGAACAGTACCCCCAAAATAAACCTTCTTTATATATCTCTCACTCTCATTGATTTCATCAAAAGCATTTACCTTGAGGCCCTCACAAGCATAAAAAAAAGACTTATCTTTATTTGCTATATAGAAGGAATGGAGTGATGCTACTACGTCAACCATGGGTGATTTTAATCTGTGCCGCTCAGGCCTGGTTTTAATTGGTTTTGGTCAAACATTCTTGAAGTGGTATAGCACTGGTCTGTTCATTTGCTGTACAATTCTAAACACTGTGATGCAGATGTGTCAAATATGATACTGGTTACCCATGGAGGACAGTATTTGGTGGAGCTTCCCAATTAAAACAAGCTTGGAAGCAGGAGTGGCATCCACTTCCAGGGCTTGCCTCTGGAAACTCTATGAACTTGGAGAACTGATGAAAGTTATACAAGTGTTCAGGTCTTTTGTTCATAGAGTCACTATAAGTTGACTCGATAGCACTTAAAAAACACCAACATACAGAAGGAATGATGTTTGCTTGACTCACTTGCTATTGTTGTTATTGGAAACTGTCAAGTTAATCATAAGGTTGCACAATTCGATGAGGGGGTGTGAAGGACATGAGAAGGATATTTTGTGAAAAACAATGTATTCAAGCTTTGTAAATAAACCAGTATGATTTTTTTAATAGATTTTCTTTTAGAAATGTATAGGCTGTAATCTTCATGGAAATTGAATCACCAGGTGTTTCTCTTGCAAAAACTCAGTTGGCAGGCAAGTACTTACTCATGGGTTTTTTTGTTTTGTTTTGTTCTGTTTTGTTTTAGCATGACTTGGGCTCCTTTGGGCTCAGTGGCTTGAATTCAAGCTAGATATGATTTAGTTTATTTTCATATGTTCTTACACTATAGCATAGTATTGTATGGTAAGTATAGTTTTAGGTACATAATTATCCTCTTTTGAAATCTCAGTATGAAATAGAAAGAATGCATCTTTTTTAGGGTTGGTGATGCTTTCATAAAGATTACTAGCTCTTTTCCTTAGAGTCAAATGGTAGGAGTCCACTCTTTGGACATGTGACTTTCATTGACCAATGAAATGTGAGAAGAAATGTATGTTATATTTATATAATAGCAAAGAACAGACCTCAATTCCACGTTCTTTGCTTCCAGATTCTGCAATAATGGAAGCAGGGAGGTGGACTTTCTTAGGTTTGGGTCTATATATAAGGAGCAAGTGGAGACAAGTACGTCAGTCAGCACGTGATGAACATGTAGCATAAGTGAGATCATGCCTTTGTGATTTGGCCATCATACTACTGTGGCATAATGTAGATCATCCAGGTGAATTATATCACTTTAAGAAGAGGAATGATATAAAAATGAATCCATTTCTAGAAAGAAATATGCTTTAATTTGGGGAAAAAATGAAGCAAGTATTTGGATCTAAAATAAACTATTCATTCAGCTACTACAGATTAAATTGCCTTTTTTCCTATAAGTCCAGAAGCCAATAGAGTACTTACTGCCAGTGTGATAAGCAAAGAATCTATTTGCTGAGATTAAATGGGGTGATGAGATCACAAAAATGAAAAAAAAAAAACAAACACAAAAAACAAAATACAAATCAACTTGACTGTTTTTAAAAACAATTTGCAGAACATTTCTTCGTAATTAATACAAAGAGATTAACTCTCCACAATATATTTTCTCCAATTTAAAAAGTATCTACTTATCCCTGGGTTGATTTCCTTTTAAATATATGTATGTAATTTTTTTGAATGAAGTCAAGTTTATTGGTTTATTTGGAAAAAATGCAGTTATATTAAAAAGCAAATGCCTTTTATAAAATAAAATAAAAATTTTATTTTAAGTTTTATTCTAATTGATTCTACAGTAGTTGCTGCAGGAAGAGTGATGGCATTTCTGTCTTCCGAACATGTCAGCCTCAGTCATAGAAGCCAGTCCATAGAGAAGGGCAGTTTTTCTGACCCTCTCCCTACTGTTAGCCATAGTTACTGTGCCTTAAAGTTATTATTCACAGCTGGTATATCCTCCAACACTTTTCTTCTTCTTGGTATCAGGCTCATGAACACAGATTCCACACTGTAACCTGATCTAAACAGGCCCTGCCTCTTAGAGACAGACTCAGATCATCTCCAGGCCCTTGAGTATAACCTTTATTTATATGACAGTGTAGCAGAGTCCTATATTGTTTCAGACTCGGGGAGCATGGGATGAGCATCCTCACTAAGCCCACGAGAGCTTGATCTTGTGTGATAGTACATTTCACTAAAGAAGTTGACGATAGTTTTGGGATGATTGGCCAGTCATTAATAAACTTATACTTTGACATAAATTTAGCTATTGCTTTTCATTGGAGAAGAAAGCAATGTCACTGTTCTTCAAACAGTAAATGTGGGAAATTTTCAGATGAGATGTTTTCATTTAGGAAGATTATCTATCTCCCCAGGGTCTCACAGTAGGTGGAACAGAGGGTTACAAATTACATAGATCTTTCTCATGCCAAAATTTGGCTCTTATTAAACTATATTTATCTTTAATACTATTTTAAAGGTCAAGCGAATAGCATGTGACATTTTTAGCATAGTGCTAGGGTAAGGACTTGGCTTCTAACCAATCTCATCAGTAGTTCTGGAGGAGAGAAAGTTCTACTCTGTCTTATATGATAATTGAGGTCAAAATGGACTGACAATATACAATAACAGATCCAAACGGAAAAACCCAGTGCTTTCTAGTTGGAAAATACTCAGAGCTCACCCTCCAGTTTCCATGACTGTTAATTGCTTGGGAGGCTATTGTTCATTTTCCCATTAAGTCATCAGTGGATTCAAACCACTGGTGAGGCATGACCTTTGAGTGTGTAGTGGAACTGCCTGCAGACTATACTACCAAAACTCCATAACAAGTCCAGTAGGTCCTAACTAAATCTTATTTACTTTATCTTTCCCAGATTATAATAAAATATGCTTCTTGTATGTAATGTTAAGTCTGAACTGACCCATAACTGACACTCTGGCAGTTTTTAAGAGGCAGTTAATTACAGAGGAGGAGATTGCCCATCCTCTTGTGGAGCAGCTGGTGGTCTCAAACCAAGTGCCTTTAGGATTGCAGCATAGCTTCTTGCCACTAGTCCACCAAAGCACCAGACAAGAAAAGTGAATTCAAAGCACTTGAAAATTCTCTGCTACTTAATCAGTGTAACTAGTTTTGCATACTGTATTTTTTTAAACCTCCTCTCATCAGCTAATATAGAAATTGAAAAGTTTTCTTTTAATAATGAATAAAATGGCAAAATCTACTAATGGGGAAACTTAAGTACTATTGTGGGCAAATCAGTAGTACTTGTGAAAATCTATCACCATTATACGAAAAATATCTGAAACCTAAGCCCAATTAGTGTCAGCCTAACAACATTACTTTAGTAAAAGATAACATGAATCTGGTAAAAGATCACTTGTGAAGTTTAACACACCAAGTAAAATTTGACACCTATTTGGTGTAAGCATTATAATGTGAAAACATAGGGTAGGAGTTCCTAGACCAAAAAATGAGCAGAACAAAGAAATGACTGTTATTATTATTCTGACTCAGAGATCCAATGGTGCACAGAGTAGAACTTTTTAATATGGTTTGACTCTGACCCTTTGGAAGAAGATTGCCAGTCCAGTCTAGGGATGCAGGTGTGGGTTTGAACCATCAACCTTTGGCTACTGATAGAGGGAAGGCTGAAGATTCTAGATCAAAGAGATGGGCAAAGCACCAGTACTTGCTTTTACATTGCAAATAATGTGGATAAAAAGTTATGCTGCAAAGCCAAAGGCAAGCAGTTCAAGTCCATGAGATTCTCCACAGGAAAAAGATACGCAATCTTCTCTCCTGAGATTTACAGCCTTTGAAATCTTCTGGAGGGTCAGCTACTGGTCAGTCCTCTCTCAACCGCAATGAACAACAACAACAACAACATATGAAGGAAGTATCACTTGGTGAATTCATTTATTGAATAAACATTATTTAGGTCCCCACTAACTATTATTGTTGTTGTGTTTGCGTAGAGTAGAGTTGGAACTGACCCATTGTTGACTCTTCAGCAGGTTTTCAGATGCAGTAAATCACACGGGAGTTAATTACCCATCCTCTGCAGGGCAGATGGTTGAAGCACAATTTCTTACCACTAAGCTACCAAAGCTCCCCACTATTCTATTCCACATCACAAAATAAAGACAGTAGAATAAGTTCCCTCCCTGATTGCATGACTATATTAGTAAGGTTCGTGTAAACTATAAAGTGTTAATACGGTTGGAAAGGACACCTGGGGTGGAATCACTGTAGCACCTGAA